TGTGCTAATGATATTGCCGTGTCTCTAGTGCAAGGGACCCCACACTGGATGATGCTGGCATTTTCTTTAATACAAAAGAGGGGGAATTATGGGAGAACCCAACTGGTTCTGGGGTCTCTGTGTAGCTGATAAATCGAAGATGAAACGTCTAAACCTGGCAGGGTGTCAGCCACAGACGGAAAAGACTGTGACACAGAACGGATTTCCTGGCAGGAATGCTGACTCACTGTTTTTAGACATGCGCGGATGTACGTCCAATTGTGAGTTATTTATGTTACTGACAAACCAATTGTGCGTGTACACGTGTCACTGAAAACTGTATAAAAGTAGCTACACTGGCTGTAATAAAGAGTTCCTGGTTTCCTGAAACCGTGTGTTGTTCCCACCCCAACCACGACAAACAAGGGCTAGGACTGTTTTCACAGATGGTTCGGGAAAAATGTCCAACTCAGTAGTCACCTGGTTTGAAACAGGAAAGTGGGTATTTGACACACACAAGGTTAAAGGTTCTTCTCAAATAGCAGAACTCTCTGCAGTCATACGCTCTTTTCAGCTATTTCCAGAACCCTTGAACATTGTTTCTGATTCGGCCTATGTCAGCAGAGTAGTCCGGTGTTGTAGTATGTTGAGGATGACCATTAAATAAAAACCAGGCACCTTATGATGATGGCCTACATTCAGCTTTTTATTGCTTCATCCAGTATATTACATCTTGTTCTCACACAGCTGCACTCACACTCTGACTGTAGAACCTTACATACCAAAACTATTCTTAGCTCTGTTATCTATATATTATTACCAGCCTTCACATATGATTGGATGTTCACCTCTTATTTACATTCTTTTCCTTGCTGCTAGGCTCCACGGCCTTGCCGTATACCTCCACAGTCCGGCGAATTGAAAATTCATACATAAAAGATATCTCCCAGTTACAATTGGCTTATATGTTCAGATCTTTACTTTATGAGATTGAGCATCGTAAACATGAATTCCATATCATCCATATTCGCTCTCATACTTCTCTCCCAGGGCCCATCACAGCAGGAAATGGCGTTGCAGACCAAATTGCTAATACAGGGCACCTTGCACAAACTGCAGTGGTACCGAACAATTTTGAAAAAGCAAAGCTGTCCCACAGCTTTTTTCACCAAAATGCAAAATCCCTTAAAAAAACATTCAACATTACCCTGCCTCAAGCCAGAACAATTATTTCTGCATGCCCTGACTGCCAGAGACTCACTCCTCTACCATCTGAGGGGGTAAACCCTCGAGGGATTAACCCACTAGACATCTGGCAGTCAGACATAACGCGTTATCCACCATTTGGAAAATTAAAATTTATCCATGTGTCTATTGACACGTGTTCTGGTGCGATTGCAGCAACAGCTCAGGCAGGAGAGAAAACCTGAGATGTTAAAAAACACTTTATGTCTGCAATATCAGTCCTTGGCATCCCCAAGACTATAAAAACAGATGACGGACCAGCTTACACTTCTAACTCTTTAAAAGAGTTTTTCAATGAGTGGGGTATCTCCCATGTCACCGGGATCCCCCACTCCCCCACTGGTCAAGCAGTGGTAGAATGGGCTCATCAGACTCTCAAAAATATGTTAACCAAACAACAGAATACCACAATTGGACTTACCCCACAAAAAAAATTAAATAAGGCATTATATGTGGTCAATTTCTTGAATAGATTAGAACAAGACACATCACCCATAGAAAGGCATTTTAAAACACACCGAAACCAAGTCAGTACCGATGCCAAGGTTACTTATAAAGATGTTCTAACAGGTGAATGGGTTGGTCTTGTTCCCCTTATTACCTAGGGAAAGGGGCGTGTTTGTGTCTCTACGGGTTCCGGTCCTGAGTGGGTTCTATCACGTCTGGTGAAATTCTACAACAGCGAGTAGTCACCACCATGATCTCCATCATTATCATCATCATCATCATTACCCTGATCCATCTGAGCGTCATGTCATACCAGCCTTCTCCCATGCCTCCCCTGCCAGATTGGGTTGGAACTGTGTGAGAACATTTGGTCTTCCCTGGCTAAGTCCCTAAATACCGATTCATTGTGTCTTTCGGTTTCGGATCCCTCCAACCCGTCCAAAACGTGTTTACTTGCAACGCCTTGGTCCCCTAATAAATGGTCTAAATTCCAAGATCAATTTTCCATATGGTGTAATGGTCTTGACAGAAATGAAAACCAAGGTGTGCCCTGCTTCCCCAACCCCCAAAACCCTGAAACCACTCTGCAGTCCCCTAACAATTATCCTGAGGAATTAGAAATTTTAGGCACCCTCCCCTCAACCCACTGTTTCTATTTTTACACAAGAAAGGAGGGGAAAAGTAAAAGGCAGTTCAATGTAACATCTTATGGAGCCTATTCTAGCTTTGAGTTCCGGTGCAAGGAAAAAATACCCTTTAAAATTGAGTCTCCCTCACTGTCTGTTGCCCTCCCTAAAGGGGCGTTCCCTATCTGTGGATTCTGGGTATGGAAGTCAATCCCTAAAGAGGCAGTTGGAGGACCTTGCACCTTTGGTCAAGTAACACTTTATAATCCAGCAAAGACATTGCCTTCCCTAGCTAATAATCCCCCCAAGAAAATCACAAAGCATGATATCACAGCCCACTCAGAAAAGCAGGACTCACCTGCAGTGCGGTGACTCAAAGAGAGTGGAAAACCATTCATTGCTGGACCAATCATTAAAAACACAGTCCCTCTGGCAACCCCTCACCCTCTGGCTCAGTAATATCCTGTAACGGGGCGAGTTGGAAGGATACATCCTCAGAGGGTCAGCAGGTTCACAAGATAGAGGGCGTCCCTGCAAAAGGCAATGTTGTCCTTCATGTGAAGCTTGAGAGCCCGAGTACAAGCCACCTGCATTTTTTATCCAATTAACCGGTGACGTCTACCTGGGTCGGTGTGGCCAGCACCGCCCAACTAGAGGCCTTCAGTCCCTCCCCCCATTATGTAAGCGTACCCCTTCAGCACATGTGTGAGAACTTTGGAATTCCCCAATCGCATGCGCTGTTTCACTCAAGGGGTCTTATCTATTTGGGTCTGGGGGCTTTACCTCATCTTCTCCCCTTCAGTTTCTCCTTCAGATGTCCTCTACAGACAATGAGCCAATCACAGAACACCAATTAAAACAGTTTATACAAGAAACTATCTCTCCAAGGACAAGACTCCTGTTTATCAGTGAACTTGGCAGGCAAGGAACAAAACTTTCACAAGTGTCTGGGTCAAACACAGACCAAAAGATATCAACATTCCCCAATACACATCCCCTCTTCAAATCTCAAAATTTGCAACAATTCAAAGAGGATTGTGACTCTAACCTCCATTTTTGGTAACACAACCAGGATATGTGAGGCAGTGTAATAATTCCAGCTATTGACACATCGCATGCCCTCGATTTCCTCAAAAAAATGGGATGTTGGTTAGCCAAAGAGGCAAATGAAACTAGTGCAGCACTGGAAGACCTTTTACTGGATTCCCAACAAATTAAGAAAGCTGCCTTGCAAAATAGAGCTGCAATAGATTTTCTGTTATTGATTAATGGACACGGATGCAGTGAGTTTGAAGGTCTGTGCTGTTTAAATTTCTCAGACCATTCCAAATCCATCCTTTCCCACATAAATGAACTCCAGTCCCTCATTCAACAGATCCTAAAATCAGACGAAGTTAGCTGGGATGATATGTTTGGTTGGGTTTCCCTAAAAGGACTTTCATTGCCCCTAAAAAAATTCCTATTATTTTTGCTTTTACGTTTGTTTGTGTTAATAATCCTTCTGTGTGTTCTTCCCTGTATAGGCAAGTGTCTTCAAGGTCTTGTGATGCACAATGTTTCTCAAGTTTATGTTTCAGTATTAAATAAAAATGGAGGAATTGTGGGAGACAGCACAGATTACAAGTCTAGGAAAGAACATCTTGAGAGAAAAAATCACCGCAGCCGCAGCCGCAGCTCCCCGAAGCCAAGCAACACAGAAAAACACAGTTTAAACTCAGGAATCATGAATTTATTGTACGGGACCTCCTTTTGCTGTGTAACTCCCCCTCACTCGGCATCCTCGTGGCTTCCCTGGGCAGCTCCCCGATCCCTGGGTTCCTATTGGGTGTTGGTCTCCTTTTTCCCCTATTGGCTAGTCGAGTGCCCAAGTCACTCCCTTCCTCCCAGCAGCCTTATAAACCGTGGGAACTTTGAATAAACCCTCTTTGCTGCCGGATTCCCTGTATGCTGTATGGTCTCTATGCGGCTCGGCACCGGGGTTTGCATCATCCAGCCCCATCCCTGAGAGACGGACGGTGGAGAGGGTCCCTCTTTCAAACACTGTCAGACCCCCACTACCAAAACCTTACACTTAAACCCAATATAAGGTTATATGGCTATCTGGAGTTTTATATACAAATTGTTTTGTAGTTCATGGCTGCACACACATGAAAATAATCACTCTATTTTAAAAGTTCCTATGCAGAAGGCAGATATTTGAATGCAGTTTTTTGTGGTGCAACAGATAGCAATCGGATTCTTTTATACTCCTGAAGATGAAGTTTGACCAATTCCGACTAGAGTAGGAACAATTTATCAACTGCTGTGCTGGCTTCTTCACAAGTAGAAATTTTTACATCAGGATTGGATGGTTTACCGAAAAGGTGTTTTAGTTTGAACAGGAATTTACAGGAACCACATTGCATTGTTCAGCTCCCAGTAGAACATCCTGTGACGTGTTCAATGAGGTGTTAGCTATTATACTATGTTAGTTCAATAACACATTCTGTTTCGGAGAGTTCTTTTGTTTCTTTTTGTGCTCCTTCACCGAGTTACCAGCATAAATATATCAATACGGTAATGGGAAATTAAAGTAAGTTTTTGTTCATCTGTCTCTTAACCATCTTTTTATTTATATTTTTTTTTAGCTATTCTCATTGTGATCTAAGTAAAACTTCATTCATTTCTAGCATTAGAGCTTCTTCTGCTTTATTTTATAGCATCATGGATTTTCCAAGACACTTCGAGCAAGTCTTTCTGCAGCTACACTACCAGAGGCTTCATGGTCAACTTTGTGGTTGTGTAATTGTGGTGGGAAACAGACATTTCAAAGCCCATTGCTCTGTTCTGGTAGCTTGTAGCACACACTTCCGAGCTCTCTTTACTGTAGCAGAGGGCGATCAAACTATGAACACGATTCAGCTGGACAGGGAAGTGGTAACAGGAGAAGCTTTTGCTGCTCTGATTGATATGATGTACACTTCTACACTAATGCTCGAGGAAAGCAATGTAATGGATATCTTGCTGGCTGCTTCTCATCTACATTTGAACTCTGTTGTTAAAGCATGTAAACACTACCTTATTACCAGGACACTACCAATGTCACCACCTAGTGATAGAGTTCAGGAGGAAAATGCATGCATCCTAAGATCTTTCATGCTTCAGAAGCTTGGGCTGAGCATTGTGAACTCTGCGTCAAATTCCACTCAGAGCACAGAGGGACAACTAAATACCTTGAGCTCATCAATGATACGTAACATAGAGCAATGTACTGCATTTCCTATCAGGCGTCTCCACAAGCGTAAACAGTCTTTTGATGATCAGGCCAGACAGCGATTCAGACCTAATGTAGATGAGTCCATTTCAGATGTTACTCCAGAGAGTGAGCAGTCAGTAGTTCATTCCCAAGAAGATTTTTTTTCACCAGACTCACTGAAGAATGTGGACAATTCTAAGGCTGATGTTGTTACTGATAAACAAGTGGATAATACTATTATGTTTGATCAGTCTTTTGGTGCTCAAGAAGATGCTCAGGCACCCAGCCAGTCAGACAACAATGGAGGAAACATTGCACAGATATCCATCTCATCTCAGGTAATACATCTGGAAACCAGTTTTGATCAGGAGGCTACTTTTGAAAAGAATACAGACATCAGTCTAAATGAAAAAGAACACACAGTGGTGGTGGTGAAATCTGAGCCTTTGAGTTCCCCAGAGTCTCAAGATGAAGTGAGTGATGTCACTTCTCAAGCAGTGAGTCTGTTGAAGTGGGAGTGGTGAGCACAGAGAAGATAGAACCGAGTCTCGAAAGCAGTGACCGTAGCTTTTCCAACCCACAGTCTAGTACTGATAGGGTGGGAGACATCCATGTTATGGAAGTGTCAAATAACCCGAAACACAAGTCCACTTTCAGTATCTCAAATTTTCTGAATAAAAGCAGAGGCGGTAACTTTGGTGCAAGTCAAAATAGCAATAATAACATTCTGAATACAAGGCACTGCAGAATGGATTGTGATGCCTCTTACCTATTGAGTCCAGAGTCTGTGCCCCCTAGTAGTAATTCCTCTGTTACAGTTTGTCATGTAGAAAATACATTGTGAGTCTGCAGACTCCCATTTTGTTAGACCAATGCAGGATGCAATGGTTCTTCCATGTGTACAGACTTCCGGGTACAGGGTTGCAGAACAATTTCATATGGATTTTCAAAGGTCAGGCTTGGGCCTACACTCTTCCTCAAGGACAGTGATAGAATCTATAAGAGGTGGAGTTGGTAGCTTTCCTGACTATCATCGCATAACCCCCAAAATGCCTGTTATGACCTCTGTCAGGAGCTCCCAGCTACAGGATAACACTTCTGGTTCCCAGAAGTGGTCACAGTGACCGTTGACGCCACCAGTAGTGGCATTCTGACTACCACTGATCACTCTTCACAAACCAAGATCGTGGTACTTTGATCCATTCTCCACTACTACTGTCCACAATAAGGCACCCTTTTATCACCTGAATGTGGACTGCCAAGCCAACAAATTGAAATATAATCACTGTATTTGCTCTACATTCACAATTTTCTATTAACCCAAATGCTTCCGAAAATGTACCATCCCAACGATTACCTGAAAAGTCTAAAAAATCATTAAACCATTTTTCAGTAGAAAGCTCATTTCTTAGCTGTTGATCACAAACATGGCATAGTAGATGCAGTACAGCTGCATCAGAATTACGTGCCACCCTCCAATGACTTTGATTACAGTCGTTACAATACACGCAAATCCACGGTCTACATTGATACCCATGTATGCAGCAAGCGTTATGCAATTTTTCTTCTAATCTTGGAGGTGCTTGTAGTACTGCTCCTATGTCTCCTCGTAACAGGGCCTCTGGTATAAGGTTTGTCGAATGCTGGAGACCAGTAGCTTGCAACCATGGAGTAAGGACACAATGCAGTCTATACAGGCGTCTTGCTTCAGCTTCAGGCTCTAATGGGAATGGTTGAGTCATGCTGTTCCTCAGGAGTCTTCTTGGCTATTCTCCAGGGCTTTCTTGACTAGGGAGTAGTGAATCCAGGTGGGTCGTTCTTTTATCCGGATTGCAGTGAAGGTGGTCTGCAGCATTTGGAAAGGTCCTTCCCACTTTTCTTGCAGAGGTTTTCCTTAAAGATTCTTAACATACACCCAGTCACCAGGATTAAATGGATGCAATTTACAGTTAGACTGTTTGGGTTGGTGGTCCATTACCCTGTAGTAATTTTATCAAAATGTTTTCCTACAACTATAACATAATCATATACATACTGATTGCCTATTTGGTCTACAGCTTTGCTGTTTACAATTTGCATTGCATAAGACCTTCCATACAAGATTTCAAATGGACTCAGTTTTTCTTTAGACTGAGGCTTAACTCTTAGCCTGATTAGAGCAATAGGTAAAGCTTGATACCATTGTAAATTGGTCTTCTGGCATATTTTGGCCATCTGCTCTTTGATAAGATGGTTCATTTTTTTCTACTTGCCCACTAGCTTGGG